CTTATTTTTTTTAGGAATATTTTTTTTAGGAATTCTTTCTTACCTTGGAAGTACATGATGAGCGTGCACATGGCGCCGCCGAATATCCAGTCCTGCAGCAGGTGACCGGTCAGCGTGAAGGGCATGCAGAAGATGGTCAGGAGAAGGTCGCTGACGCTCAGGTTGAGTAGGAACACGTTGGTGATAGTGCGCATGCGCTTGTTCTGCACGAGGGTCACGATGACGAGCGCGTTTCCGGTGATCGACAGCACGAAGATGATCGAGTAGAGAACGATCTTGACGGCCGCGCCAAGGTCGACACGGTGACGCGTCGTCTGGTTGCCGACGTCGTCGTCGTCGTCGCTCAGGTTCCACGCTGACGTCACGTTCGACAACGAGAGAATGTCGTTCATATTGTCGGGGGGGGGGGAAGGTGACGGCAGGAAGTGATGACGTAGGGGGAGAGTTGGTGGCAAGAATTGATGACTTGGGGGAAAGATGGCGGCAGGAAGTGATGACGTGGAGGGACTTTATGGCAGGAAGTGATGACGTGGGGGCGCGTCGGTGGCAGGAAGTGATGACGTGGGGGCGCGTCGGTGGCAGGAATTGATGACGTGGGGTAGAGTTGGTGGCAGGAAGTGATGACGTCGGGTACAGTTGGTAGCAGGAAGCGATGACGTGGGGTAGTGTTGGTGGCAGGAAGTGACGACGTGGGGGTCGCGTTGATGACAGAAAGTGACGTAGGTGGTGGACGCGTATCGTCAATCCTGGTGTCAGTGCTTATGAAGCGCGTCGGCTCTTTAAATGTGTCGACACGTTTGAAGAATGTCGGCACGTTTGAAGTCGGCGGTCGCGCACGCGGCGGTACACAGACACGAGCGGGAAAGAAGTCCAAGTTGCGAGTCGCTTCACAAATGTGCGCACGGTTCCCGCGTCATCGTCGTCGTCAGCGGATATCCTGCAGTTGTCGGCCAATGTCCGGTCGCCGTCGTCATGCCAACGACAGAATCAAAACTAAAACTTTTCGCGCTTTAGATTTTGTTTTCGCTTAGCCGAGATCAAACAGAAGCCCGCGTATGTCGCGTCACACACGGAAGTTGTCGTCTGCCTCGTGACGTCACGGGGCGAGACCTACGCTGCTTATCCTGGATTCCTTCTTATGCTAGATGCTTCCTTCTTAGGATAGATGCTTTCTTCTTATGCTAGTGCTTCTTTCTTATGCTAGATGCTTCCTTCTTTATGCTAGTGCTTCCTTCTTTATGCTAGATGCTTCTTTTTTATGCTAAATGCTTTCTTCTTTATGCTAGTGCTTCCTTCTTTATGCTAGTGCTTCCTTCTTTATGCTAGATGCTTCATTCTTATGCTAAATGCTTTCTTTTTATGCTAGTGCTTCCTTTTTATGCTAGTGCTTCCTTTTTATGCTAGTGCTTCCTTT